GTCGTCGCTGCACTCTATCCGCTATGATAACTCTTTCTAGCAGACCAGCACCCATGGCCTCTGTTAGGGGAACTGCTCGTTTGAGACTTACTTTGGTTGTAACAGTGTCATATAAATATTTTAGAAATACCACCCCACTTAAAGCAGGAGGAACGAGCACAAAGGTTTGTCTGAGGATCGTCAAACAGTAAGTCTGTGGCAAAGCTAATCTCTTGCAGCCTCTTCTGTGGCTCAATTCCTAAAGACAAACAGGCAAAGTGACCACTTGGGTGAAGGAGTTTATGACGATTCTTCTTCTGATACAATTAAAATGATTCAATCCATCTAACATGGATGCAAGCAAGTAGAGAATTGAGCCACCCCAGCATAAAAGTGTCTGCAGTGAGCTAATCCTAGTATAATTATATTGGTTTCTTTTTAATCACATTCATATCTAAAGAAAGAGGAAGCTACTTTATTGAGCTTAGGCCTGGCTGTACTGGAAATTGGTACACTTATGAATTTAAGATGTGGGTTTGGGACTTTTTTTAAATTCTCGGTATTTGTACAGCTTATCATTTGCATAGGCCTAAAGTTAATAGACTAGTACTCTCTAAGTTTCTCTCTTACTAAGAACTAAGCAAGCAGAGTTGGGCTAAATTGAAAGGCACATGGTATTATTGTTCTTGAATTTAGGGGCTGGTTTTGCTTGGGACCTTAGACATGACTTCCTAGGGTTCACTTTTCACTGTAGTGAACTCCTGCTACTGCAAAAAAAAGATAGAGACTTTATTAATTGGTTTATTTTGTCAGATGATAATACTTAAATTTTGTTATCAGTCACAAATGTTAATGTGTAAATAGTTGATTTTGACAAATATCACGTTCTCTTAAAATCTTCTCCTATCCATGAAGTTTCGGAAGCGTTTGTGGTCTGGCAGATGAGGATTTGTCCTATTTTCAGGTTTAGGCGGCCTACAAAACGCTAAGGATCGTACGGACCATCTCTTAATGCTACCTGCTACTCACATTGCCAGCGGTAACAGCAGTTACAAGGTAAGAACGGTTTTTAATACGTACACCTCTATAGCTCTCATCGTTCAAGTTTCTGTTACTTCAGTAAGCGGACTGATAACGCCTTTCAGGGAAGGTCAGTGGTTTTGGATTTGTCACAACAGGGCTCCTCCCAGCGTTGTTTGCACCAGTAAAGTAGATGTAAACAGCAAAGCAGATGTATCCACAGTCCTCCGTAATGATTCATACAGTGCAAGGGACTATAAAAAAGCAGAGGGGGGGGCAACGAAGGGCAGCTGAGATGTGGCCCAGATTGCCAGCTTGCTGCTAGCTCAGCCTGCCTCTGCACCGGGACGCCTGGGGCATCGCTCCAGAGACGCTGAGGCCTGGGGGGGGCTGCCCGGCCACCCCAGCCTGCTCCTTGTCACCCAGGGGGTTACGAAGAGAGCCAAGACCTTCCGAGTCTTTTTCTTGCAGATAATTTACCCATTTCTGGAAAATGAAAAACCCACCCCAAACTAGCAGACAACGCAGCGGGCGCAGGCAGAAGCGCGCACGCCGCCGCAGCAGAAGGCAGCGCCCGCGTGGCAGGCAGGGCCGGGCGACGGCTGGAGGCGGGCCAGGGGG